CCCCAAAACCCCAAAACCCCAAATTGAGGTGTTAGTAAAATTTATAAAAATATTTACAAAAATATAAAGTTAATGTGATTATCCAAGTCATTATTCTCACAAAAGCTATTTGTAACTGAAATCTTTAATTTCTTAAAATCTCAGTCCCTATGCTATCTGAAAATCTTGCATGAAGGAGAGCACGCTGATAGCCATTGCTTTTTTCATAGCATTTCTCAAGTGAACTTGAAGAGTTTATTTACTAGAAATAGCTGTAACTAGTGACAAAATCTATCTCCTAGAAGTATCATCATTGAAATATCCTTTATCCGATTTAATTTCCTCAATCATTTAGATATCCTCTCTAATTGAGGATTTCTATCCCAATTGATAACTTACTAAAGCATAGTAACTGATCAATGATTTTAACTCATTTTCATAGGAAAATATATTATACAAATCTAGATTTCTCAACAATTCAAAAACATTTAATTTCTTATCCCAACTATAATCATTCTTCAAGCAATTCTCACAATTTAAATTAACATGCTCAGAAATCTAATATTCATTTTTATCAGTTAAAGCATATATCCTCAAATAATTCATCAGTTCATCAGAAATATTTTGGTATTAATAAATTTTATATTTCAATTCCATAGGGACTCTATTCTTTTATCTTAATTGCTAGGATAATTAATCTTTGTTATCATAAAGCGATGAATCAATAAAGTCAATCAATTGGCTTATCTTTAATTGATCCTTATCAAAATATTCAAAGTAGTTTGCTACATAAATAAGACAATTTGAGAAGGGATTATTGTCAATAACAAATCCATAGTTTTTAAGTAGATTTGTATTTTGAATATATCTGTTATAGGCATAATTAAACTCCTCTAACTATTTGTATTCAGTATTTGCAATTAGTTCAACTTTATTTTCATCAGTAGTAAGTCCCTCAGTTACTTAAAGATCGAATGATACATAGTCGCTTTAGTTCAAAAATTTAGGCTATCGATGATTTGGAATATCAATGAGTGGGATAATAACTATTGATTCATTTCCTAAATACCGAAAATTTAGATCAACTAACTAGAATGTGCTCTCATCTGTTTCATGAGTTAGATTTTTAATGCTCCTCAACTTAGCCCAGTCACCAATATTAAATGAATGGCAACGAGTAAGGATAACACTCTACCAATGACTATACTCCTTATAATCCTTAACAATGAATCACAAAGCACTCTCCAATGTCTTATTCTTAAGTACTATCTTTTTGAAAGCTTTAAATATCGATTTCTGTAAAGTGAAATCATAAGTTAAAGGGAAATTAACTTGATTAAAGAAATCTATTTAATCTTTTGACCAATGCTCCATATTATCAAATTTCAACTAATGCAAGTATTCCAAGTAGTTTTACATAAATTCAATATCTTCCTTATATTTTAATTTAAAAGGATTATTATGTCTTTGTCAGTACAATATTTGAAGATAAATCCCAAAAGTAGTATACTTCAGCAATGAGTCCAATTTATTCTTACTGAAATCATCCTTAACTAGATCTATTTCAAGCAGAGTGGTCATAATTGTTTCCTTAAGAGGGTAATAATCATCTATAAAATTAAACTTGGCAATATCTATGTAAAATTCTTACAATCAGAAATCACATAGCTAGCAGGTATAGAGATCACAGTCATGTTTGGCTAAATATCTTTCTTTACAATATTGTGAAAGCCTGTTTCCTTTAAATAAGCTATGTCAATGTATTCAGAGTATAAATTGAAGGATTTCTTAAAGAAGACATAGAAATCCTCTTTGCTTTTTTGATTACTTTATTTGGCAATTAGTATTTCAAAGACTAAAAATAAGATTATTCCAAAAATTTTCATCATTATTTTATAATTTTTAACAATTATATAATATCATAATGGGGTTTTGGGGTTTTGGGGTTTTGGGG